TCCTCAACCAACACTTGCTCTTTCTTGTCTTTTTGATGATAGTCATTTTGACAGGAGCGAAGTGACGTATCTCACTGTGGTTTTGGCCCTCGTTTCTCTCATGATTAGTGATGTTGAGCATCTTTCAAGTACCTCCTGGCCACCTGAATTCCTTCTTTGGAAAAACGTCTATCAGATCTTCTACCCATTTTTAACCAGAGGTGTTTAGTTTAAAGTAAACGTAGGTTCACACGCCATAGACAGAGTGTGGGCCATCTCAGCAGGCAAGAGAGAGAGTGACGAGAGGCGAGAGGTGGCTGCAGGGCATGGGTCTTCTAGGAGCGTGAGATTGGCCGCGAGGTGTGGGGGTGGCTAGTCTTTATGTGCTCAGTAACTTCACATGCTAATAAGTGGGAAGAGTACTCCAGCTGCTTGGGGGAAGGGGCAAGGGGTCCCAGCCATTGGGCCGCTGCCCACTTTTGGGCTTTTTATGGCCAGCGTCAGAACTGCCGTGGCACCGTAGGAGTGGCCTTTAGCATGCTAATATATTACAATGAGCATATAATGATGCTCAAGGTCTAGTGGAAGTCAAATCTGCCATCTGAGGTCTCAAAGTCTACTGGAATTGAATTTTCCACCATCGTGGGCCTAGTCAGGTTTGAACCAGTTTATGTCCTATCCTCAGTTGCTATGTCATTCTTTTAATGGTTGTGCCCTGCTCACTTCCCTCCTGTCTCAGTCATGGGGCCTTCGGGAGGTAATTAGGTCGTGGAGGTGGAGCCCTCCCGAATGGGATTAGCTTCCTTCTGAAAGGGACCCCAGAGGCCCCCTCGTCTCTCCTGCCAGGTGAGGACGTAGCAGGAGCACAGCCATCTGTGAACCAGGGAGCTGCTCCTCGCCAGACCCCGGCCCTGCCAACACCTTGATCTTGGACTTCCCGGCCTCCAGAACTGAAAGAAGGAGGGTTCTGTTGTTTATAAGCCACACGTCGGTGCTGTTTTGTTACAGTGACAGCAGGACTAAGACAGCAATCCTACAAGTGCCGCATTGTGCAGAATAGAGAAAAGGCTAATTCTGTGGCTCAAATTCTGAATGCAAAGGCTTAAAGAAAGAAGAGCTCCACGGGTTGTAGAAATCTTGGTCGCCTTCAAGGAAGATGCTGAAAAGGAGGTCGAGCTGGGTGAGGAGTGGCTAACCCTGAAAGGAAGTGCGGGAGGGTGGTCTTTTTTCCGGGGAAGGGAAGATATGTTATTAACAGACATGTATGAAGAGAAACGTTAAGGAGATTTCTTAGCCCATATTGTCCTCACAAGCTGAAACCTCTGCCTGGATACTTCCCATTTCAATCCAGATCTCTCCATAGAAAGCAGAATTCCAGGCTCCCTTGTTATTCTGACAGACGTGTCTATTAGACCTGCGTTGTAGGGCACGTGTGCTGCAGGCGGACTTTGCATCCAGTAAAGAAACTGTTACGGGGTGAAATGTGCCCCCATCAATTCAAATGTTGGAGTCCTAACCCCAGTACCTCACAATGTGATCTAATTTGGAGACAGTCTTTTCTTCTTCTTCTTCAGCTTTACTGAGATATAACTGACGTATAACATTGTATAAATTTAAGGTGCATGACATGTAAATTTAAGGTGTATAATTTGATACATTTATATATTGCAGTGTGATCACCGCCATACCGTTAGCTAACACAGCCATCACATCACGTAATTCCCATTTCTTTTTTGTCGTGAGCAAATTTAGAATCTACTCTTTTAGCAACTTTCAAGCATACAATACAATATTATTCATTATAATCCCAATGCTGAGGGTTAGATCCCCACAATTTATTCATCTTCTAACTGGAAGTTTGTACCCTTTGGCCAACATGTCCCCAGTTCTCCCAACCCCCCAGCCCCTGGCAACCACCATCCTACTCTCTATTCCAACAAGTTTGGCTTTTTTCAATTCCACATGTAAGTGGTACCATACAGTGTTCGTCTTTGTTGGATTTATCTCCCTTAGCACAATGCCGTCGAAGTCCATCCATCCCCATGTTGACCACAGCGTTATCCACAACAGCCAAGATACTGAAACAACCCAAGTGTCCATCAACAGATGATTGGATAAAGAAGATAGGGTATATGTACAAAAAGGAATATTATTCAGCCATGAGAAAGAAGACAATCTTGCCATTTGTGACAACATTGAGAGAGGGTCGTTACAGAGGTAACCAAGGAAATATGAGGTCATGAAGGTGGGCTTCAATATAGTATGACCGGGGTCCTTATAAGATGAAATTCGGACCCAGAGGAGAGATGCCATGAAGACACACGGGGAGAGAATGCAGCCATCCAACCTGGAGACGTCACTCTAAGTGAAGTAAGCCAGAAAGAGGAATAACATATGCTATCACTCATGTGTGGAATCTAAAAGAAGAAAAAAGGGGACACTAATGAACTCATCTACAAAACAGAAACAGACTCGCAGGCATGGGAAGCAATCTTATGGTTACTAAGGGGAAAGGGGTAGGAAGGGATAAATTTGGGAGTTGGAGATTGGCAAATGCT